CCACACCCACACCCACACCCACACCCACACCCCGTTGATTCTTTCATCAAAGATTTTTTTTTAAAGGAATTGGTTTGATGTCGGTTATCATCGATGTAGAACTTCAAGCTCTGTCGATTGATACTATCTTCGAGTTAAGCGGCGATCAGAGTAGGTTGAAGCGTATTTTACTTATATCCCATTCTTCAAGATGTGAACTGTTTGATTGATTAGCTTTAACCGTAATGGGCCAGAATCAGCATAAAAACATATACTATGAATGTCTCAACTATGTAACTAATCCATAAGAAAAATTTTCAAAACTATCATCTGTATTGTTCTGTATAAATTGATCTTCATATTGATCATTAATTTAGTTACAAAATGTGTCTTCAATAACACTGGAGAACACCCGAGACGGACCGTGAGATAGTAATTTACACAGATTTTCGAAGAGATAAACTAAGGCACTCTTTACTTACACAATGTGTATCGAACGTGTCAAATTTATTCTACATGTAAAATGTACATACTACATACAATATTCATGTTTATATACTCAAAGAATTTACAAATATGCTAATTGACTACGAAAAACGACTATTTACAAGTTGATAAAATGAAATAGTATCGCTTATACTCATGTGAAAATAATAACATACTTTAATGTACAAAATCATACTCTGACGAACTTCGACTTTATTTTTTCATTATAAATTCAATTTTTTACCTACCTAATTTTGGTGTGTAATCAATATTGACTGCATCTTTATTTGAACTAATAACTATTAATATTTGTTCATCTTTTATTTCTTCAAATACTGTTAAACCATTTTCATCTTCTTTTCTTTTCTTACCATATCCAATTACTTTACATTCAATCAAAATATTATCAATTAAATTTCCATCAATATCTGTTACAATGATTTTTGTTTGTACAGGTTTATTTTTCTTGCCGTAATTTGTTGATAATTGAAATCCAACGTAATATGTGCATGGATGTATGATAAATTGTGTTTTTGTTTCCTGTCTTTGATTATTTAAATCAGTAATGGCTGCTAATGCATGAACAATTGTTGTTCTTGGTTCTTGTTCAATACCATGATAACTAATTTTTATTTCATGTAGACCTTTATTGTTTGTTTTACCCTGAAAGTAAATCAATGGAATCACTTAATAAACATATCGATTGAACTACTCTCTGTTGAATTTGTGGAATATTTGATGACGTTCTAAAAACTCAGCTTGCAAAGCGTGAAGTGCTTGGGATCTTTCACATGTTTACATCTTACATCATAGTACATAAACTCTTTACAATATAGATTCTTTGTTAGAGTTTTCGATTATTTACTAAAAGAACTACGTAGTTTTCGTCCAATGATTTATAAATACGTGTTTGCCACAATTTTAGACTTCCTACTTTGCGAATCATGATAATATTGTAGTAGTTTTAGGAATATCAAGGGTCGCAAACCAAGTGACGATTGACTCTGAGACAAACAACTCATAGAAAAACAAGAAACTGACAGTTTAATGACTATTATCACATACAAATCTTTTCGTTATCTGGTAAAAGAAGCAGATAACAGACGATTTGATGATCAAGGTTGATGCATATTTTATCTGTTATATATTTTGAAAAATTCTTCATAAGAGCGGTCCTTCGTTGACTGGTCAAAACTGACTTTCTTATGAGTGGATGAGAGGATGGTAGCAACGAGAAAATTAAACTCAGCATGAACAGCAATTCATCGTCGAATTAATGCACAGAGTCTCGAAGGCTTCTTTCTGACTGAACACATACTCAAAAATAGTTAGAAGAGTCACGTACTGCTAAACAATGTTTATTTCAGAAAGATTGTGTCTTTAGCTGTCTAATACTTCATCTATATGCATTTTTCAGTAAAATATTCATTTACATGTATTTCTGTTCAGAAAACATTATCTTATTTTCAATCATGTAGTACTTGAGAAAAGTGCTGAAACTGGTACATGTTTGCTTCTATCTGCAGCTTTTAAGATACTTTGTGTCTGTTATCTAACTGCTAACAATTCATCAAATCTAATCATAGTGCACATCTGTTTCAATCTAATTCGAAGTTGCTTTTTCTAAGAGCAAATTGTTCTTTTGTACTTAAATTAAAATTATTTTACTTGAAAATGCTTTTCTGGATATGAAATTTCAGTTTGATTATTATTACCAAACCAGAAAAAGAACGGTTGAGCTCTATCAAATATGTAGTCATATCTTTTAGGTGGTATAAATTTTGTTGTTTCAGCTTGTACTGTCCATTGAACATTTGCATCATTTAAATAACCACCAGCAAATGATTTTCCTTGACAAGTAGCTATGACATATTCATCAACGATTGGATGACAATAGCGTGCTATTGTTGGTCGAACCATTGATGAAACTTCATATTCTGGTTTTCTGAACTCTTGAACTTTAAACTAATGCGCTATGCTACTTTGTGAATCTGGTAAACTGAACGTTACGTATCCATTACCTAATCATAATAGAAATTCAAAATTAATCAATTCTTCTTTATATTTACAAACTTTCGCAAGAATAGCCTTTTAAGAAACTATGTACACAGACAGCTGAGTACAGAGATTTAAATTTTTAATTGTGAGAGATTGTTACTCGTACTGTATTTCCAATCATAATGAAGAGATATTAGACAAGAATGATTTTTATTTAGGTCTTTTTAATATGTATTTAATATATGGTTGAATTTGTTTCTGTCTCCGAAGTAGTATAATACATTCTGTTACATAGCATATCATATGTAACGACGAAACTCTTAAAATAAGTCAGAAATTTGGTTACAGACTTCTATGCATCTATCACGATGTGTAAAATAGTCTGAGTAGGTTGAGTATATCACATATACTAACTGATCAAAAGACAATAAGCGGAAGGTGGTAGTTTTTTCCTTGAACTATGTTGGTGTGTTAAGATATTTTGTCTTGGAAATCTTTAGTTACGAAATGAATATTATTACACGTAAGTTTCACATACATAACAAAACCAGACTAGGGTAGGATGAAATGTCGGCTGCGAGTATTTATGTATTCACCCAAAAATGCTTGTCGAATACGAAAAACAAAAATCGATTACAACTATGTGTGCTTAACGATTGTTTAAGCTATTGATCAGCATATAAATAAAACACAGCTATCTATCCTAGTTATTCCACTTTACACATGCATCCTAATAAGTAAAGATAAAAGTACGATATCTAACATATCAGAATTATTGTATCCGTCCAATATTGACACATTATCGAGATCGTTTATTTGTTAAACCTCTCTCTTTCAAAACACATTGCAGCAGAGCTATATTTAAGGATTCTGAACGACTAGAGTTTATTGAAATATATACGTCATTAAAAAAAATCAATCAATTTTTCCTATAATTATTACAGAGATCGCATTGAATGAATAGATAGAATAGAATTCAAGTTTTTGTTCTTATATTCTAAAATGAATTATATCTCAATGCTGTCAATAATATTATCATATGTTCATACCTACAATTAGTGAAAGTTTTCAAATGAACAACCATGTTCACTTCAATAAGAAGTCTCATAAATTTTAAAAATCATTTTTTGAATTGAGAACTCATTTGATCATTTTCTCATTCTTCTTGCAAGTGGCTTTAGGTATATGAATTGTCCACTTTTTATGAAAACTCGGTTGGTGATATCATTTAATTACAATTTCTGAACATCTGATCTGATCGACTTAAAAATTTTATCATACATATTAGACAACATTACATAAGTATATATTTTTTTTCATTCGATCATCTTTTCTTTCTTCAACATAGCAAAAACACTAAGAAACGTTTTCAAGTTTCTAAAACTTGTAAAGAATAAATGATAGAACGAAACAAATCTACACTTAGGTAATGTTGTCTAGTATTTATGATAATGTTTTGAATTTGATTTGGTCAAGAGATATTAAGAAGTTTTAATGTGACTGGGTTGAAATGACTATAGAAAACGTATAGTGACGAAAATGCATGTTGTCGATAGGGCTTTTATCTCTATCGCAACTCATCTGAAAATTCTAAAAGACATCTTTTTGTGTGGACAACATATTTTTCTATCGAGCCATATGAAAACCTTCCGCATGTACACGTGAAAACGACAATCAAACTTGAGTTTTCGATTTTAATTGTACGCTTTTTACTTACAAGAGTCTCTAGGAGTTCTTTAGAGTTCTCTAAAAACTTCTTAAAAACTTG